TGGACACTGTAGTTTCTTGGTTGTCCAATGGTATACTGCACTCCTCCAAAATCATGGCCAATAAAAGGGTTTTATTCTATGAAGTTGACAGTCTAGTGGGAAATATTTTGTATAACCTTTTTGGAAAGACTTTATTCAAATTATCATAACTCTCTTCGTACTTAATATATTTTACTTCTGGTTTTTCTTTTCTTTTATTCTTTTTCTTCACACCAGAATCCCCTGGCTTTCCAATAGTATATCGCACCCCTCGAAATTCACGTCAATAAAAGTAGTTTATTCTTTGAAATGCGCTGTGCACAATCCGACATGAAATATTTTTATGTCACCTTTTTGGCAAGAGAATGATGCCTTGAATTATTCGTATTCTCAACAAGAATTATTTTCCCTAACGTAAGCAAGTATAATTTAATTCAAATGTTCTTTTGTCCATTAAAAAGAGAAATTGGTATAAAATGGTTAATAGTTTATAACAACTCAGGGTCATGAGTTAGGAGTATAATTCAAGTCATAGAATGAACCCACTTCACGATTAGCAAGCCTATAACTCATTTGTTCATATAAAATGGTAAACACTATTCATAAGTAACTTTGGTAGAAAATATTCAACATAATATAGTAATACTAAATCAAAAAAGTTCAAATGCATTACAATAAATTCATCTTCACTAAGAAAATGCTTGACTGACCACATCTAATTCTCAGACATGGTTAATAAGATTACACTTTAAATCTTTTTGCACCTTGTCTTGAATTTATTTCAGTCGACCAATCGTCCTTGACATGAGATACGGAATCATGATCTGGAGTAATATTGTTAATTGATTCATCTCTTTCAGGCTGCCAACTTTCAAGATTTATGCTTTGGCCACATTCACTCTCATTAATCATATGCAAAATTATGCATGTCTTCTACATATGTTCTTGACCTTTTACTATATGTCAATGACTTTGCATCAACGTGAATGTTCTTTTCACATCCTTCCAACTAAATTTTTGGCGTTCCGCGAATAATTTTTCTTTCATAGAAGATGATTGTGAAATGGTCATGATCAATATGGCGTGTTGAGGATAAATACCATCAGATAAGTAGTACCCCTTATTATAGTGACGACTTTGCACGACAAAATCACACAATGGTGCAACATTATTAACTATATCACCAAATACAGATGATTCATCAAGAACAGTCACATCATTGTTGCTACTTGCTATACCAAAAAAATGCATGTCAAATCCATAGGTTTTGTGAAGCTACAACCTCAAGGATAAAGGTTAGGACTCTTTTAAAACCACTAGGATATGTCTCATGCCAAGCAGTCGAACAATTCTTCCAATGCCAATGCATACAATTTAGACTGCCACGCTTTCTTCAAAGCCTTTGACCTGCGCCTTCTTCTAATAACACTGAAAAATCGTGCTTATTTGGTTTTTTTAAGTATTCTTCATAGAACAATCATATTATAGCATCACAAAACCTCTTTAGGCTTTCACCAATTTGAACATATTCATCAAGTGAATATACTACCGAACCATACGCAAGCATGCATATTGTTGCTACTACTTTTTGCAAAGGACTCAACCCTATGTTTTCAACGGCATCAATGCTCTTATCACGATGAATATATGACCTGCCAGCCATTGATCCTCCATGGGGATGCTTCCTAAACGTTAAGAATGAGGAAATCATAAATAGAACACATACGGTACCCAATTTTAACTATGTCTGACTGTACATCTTCATCAAAATTGTCATCTCCTAACAATCACTTAGTAAGTAAAAGGGATTTGAAGCTCGATAATCCATTCATTGAGTATGAATTAGAGTCTTCTAACGACATTCTTTCAACATCAATATGATAAAAAAGTGCTATTGTTTTAAAATAAAACTACTTCAAACTAAAAACTAATTTAGAAGTTTTGTTTTTTGTTTTTCTCCAAACGAAATAAAAGCAATATAAAATAGAACTCCATTAAAAGGTGTTTAGAACAAGAAATTATAACAATGGTCCAAAAATATTTAAAATGTCATACAACCCGAGATTTCATTAAATAGATGTAGGTTAAAACACATAATAGAGGCTCCATAACCTTGCATAAAAAATTATCAAAACAAAACAAAGGGGCGAAAAAAAAATCACAATTATCAAACCATAGTAGCAAATGAAAACTACATAAACAAAAAAGTTCACCTATTGTTTGATAGAAATAAAAGAGCATAAAAAAATGCAATTGATATATTCTCAAAAAAAAAATTTATAGTTACCTGTAATGCAATTGATATATTCTCAAAAAAAATGCAAGTGTCTGTTTATTCTGAGTTCAACAAAGACAAAACTATTTTATTCCTAAGTATAGAAAGACAAAACTATTCTGATCATCTGGCCACGAACATGAATAATGAAGGGTTGTCTTTTTTGTCCAAAGATTTTGTTTTATTATTTATTAGAAAAATAAAATCACCTTTAACTATTTTATGCCTTTGAATGGATGCATTCCAAATCAAAGTTTATCTTTTTGACATTCGTATTACATGGATTTGCATTCTATTCATTATTTGACATGTGTTAAAGTTGACTCCCTTCAAAAGATTAACATTGGAGATGCTCTAATTCGACAAAAAATCTCAGTCACGACATGTAATTTAGCAAAGCTGTTACGGAACCAAAATCATCATAATCATACAAATAAATAGCATGAATACAAATGAAAAAGTAAAGTATTGTACACGTCGGCAAACCTAGTTGGCTACTTCCACAGCTCGCTTCTTTCTTGAGTCACATAAAAGCCAGCTTAGGAATGAGTCCCAGGCATTGGAATATAACTAACTTTTAATTAATGCAAAATAAATCTTCAAACTTTCACCATCATTTTACACTTGAGCAGCAACAAAATGCAGTAGGAAAGTATAAAACCAGCAACTATGGGTCACGAGAACATTCGTAGGAAGTTGTTAGCGTATGCCATGGGTTTGACATCAGGGTGTGGCTGCATTTCACAAAAAAGAAATAAATAAGTAATAATCAATTGCAAATACAAAATCATTAAAATAATGCAGAAATCTACAAAACACAACAGAGTAGCCCTGATCATCTTGATGCAAAACGAAATATACCCTTCCAGCATTTGTTTCTTCATTTTTCCAATGACTTGCAGCATATTTCACTAAAATTGCAAGCAGAAAAGAAGCTACTTACCACTGAAGAAAATGTAACGATGTTGGGTTTCAGATCTGGGGCTTCAAAACGAATAAATGCCCCCTTGTTTCCCATCTGTTTCAATTGAAATAAATTCAAATATAAGAATCTCGTTCATAAAGTATACCGGTTGCAACAAATATTCTACATGGATATTTCAATGGCAAAGAAAGGTAAAAACTTATCAGCATTGCTTCATACAGACCCCCAAATGTCAGTCTTTCACTTACTTTTTTCAGTTTTCGAGTTTTTCTTTCGGGTTTCTAGTATTATTTTCTTCTTTCAGTAATCTATTTCCAGGCATTTTTTGTAAATGTTTTCAATCTTAAGATCCAACTTTAGAGCACTACAATTGGGGGAAAAAATAATTATGAAAGTAGGATCATGGCAAAATTGTCAAAATAGGAGGAGACAATTAAACAACTTATATTGCAAACTTAGCGAAAGGAGATGAACTTACAACTCTACAATAGATTGTACTAGTTCTATATCAGAGATGTAGGCCATGTTACAGCAAATCACATCCCGATACATTTTGAAAATTGGAATTTATACATTTGCCAATTTTTTTCAAAATTAATAGGTTTGACAAAGTAAAAATGCAGAAGAAAGTGGAGGTCGCGGCTCACTAAATTAGTACAGTTTAGGGGAAATCAGAAATTTCTCCTGAACAACCTAACACCTCAATATCAAAACCATACCTATAAGATAAAATAATAGATCACTTGTCCATGTCTGCTATAATAACAGTATATGCCTATCATATCAAGGCTTAGGATACGTTTTAGACTAAGATGGACTAAAGAAACAGTATTACCTGATCACAGTAGTTTGGAGCAGAAAACACAGTAATTAATTTTCCGTCGTGCTCAATTTCATAACCTTCATCCTTAACCTCATGTGACCGCACTACCAGATCTGTAATTAAAATCATGTATAGCGGTAAAATAATACAACAACTTGCCTCTAATTACTACTATTTTCCATGGCTATTTTAAATGTACACGAAACTATTGCATGAAGGTAGTTCACATCAATGTGTGTGTGTGTGTGTGAGAGAGAGAGAGAGAGAGTAACCTAGGTTGTTATCCTGCAAAAATCTTTTTGTTACATCAGCACCAAATGAAAGGCCAACACCACGCTTGCTTGGTCCCCTTCCAAGTTGGGGTTGTGGATCACTCCACAGCAATTCACACATCAGCCCTAGGTAGAAGCAACAGATACTGCTTGAATACTGCCAACTATATCATCATTGCTAACTGACATTAACATTATGCACATATAAGTTGAACCATTTGTAAAGTTACGCTTTTGTTTGTCAAGTAGCAACTGAAACAACTACCGAAAGTTCAGAGTCACAGGTGCTAGAAGCATAAGATTTTTGAAGCCAAAAAAAGGTTAGAGGATAATCCCAGACTCAGAGTCATTCCCAAAGAATACATCCTCCCAAGCTATCAGATGACACATGTAACTAGTGATTCCACATTGAATTGACAAGTTTTAAAGACTGAGGAAACCACCATAAGGAAGGGAACAACTAGCCAGACGTTTCTTTAACACTGAATTGACAAGTCTAAAGACTGAGAAAACAACCAAACTCGTTTACGAGGATCCAGTTGGAAACTGATCACATGGAATTTCAGGGGTTCTGAAAAGACAAGCCCATAATAAACATAGCTTGCCTCTCATGAAACACATGTTATAGGGCTTGTTCCAAAACCTTGAATGCTCAAACAACTCCACAGCAATAACAAAATCATCAAATTTTTGGAGTATGCCCGACATTGAGCTCAGTGAGCATTGCTTGTACAACTTATAACAAATTAATTCAGTTAATAATTGCAAACATTACAAATGAAAGTACTTTAGCATGTAGAGGAATGAATACACGTCAAACAACGCTAGTAATGCAGGACAATAGAACCTTTTATAAGGCAAGGGAATACTAATATAACTAGACAGACTGGATCTGGATGAACATATAATAAGGAATATTGTATTTCGAAGCTTACCCTCTTCCGGAGGCTCACAAAAACGATCAATTGCCTTTATGTCAGAGAGCTTTACGCCATCAACACTGAAAAGACCTCCGTGGACTACAAAAACTTTCTCATTTATTACATGAGCCAAAGGTAAGCAACAGAACACCTCCGCAAATAGCTCCACGAATGTATCGCTCAATTTGGATTTGACCTCACCCTCAAAACCATATATCTTATTCATGCTCTTACTTTCATGGTTCCCTCGAGAAAGATATATTGCTGGACATAAAGTGCATGTGCATATATCAGAACAAAGGCTATATTTTGTGAAGCTGCGAGAACAGATCAACAATAATTAAGTGACTGAAATTAAAACCATCAGAATACCCGCCAGACTAAGCATCTGTATTAGCAAAAGGTTAAGGAGAATCTCATGGAACATATTGACACCTTTTATATTTTCCATACCCTGGAAATGTCTATGTTGTGCACTATCCAGCACTGTGTCAATTAATAGGCCTATCTGTTTCATATGTCCTAACCAATTATAGTTCAACAAAACAGACAGTCAAACACTAATATAAACCAAACAACAAGAAGCATGGATCACCTGATGGAGACATGCACTTAAAGGCAAACAGAGTGAGGATGACCTCGACTGAGAAAGAACCCCTATCTACGAAATCCCCATTGAAAAGATATGGATTATCTTCGGAAGGTAGTCCATTCAGCTCAAAAATATTTATCAAATCATAAAACTGCAACCACATAATGAGTCATAAAGATATTATATTATTACTGCAACTTTGCACGAAGAAAACAAGAAAATAAAATTGATAATCTTATGTCAATTGTAAGCATGGTTATAATAGGAAAAATGATCTGTCAACCAACACAAAGTATTCAACCCTAAACACATCATAAACTAGAAATAAATGTTTGAAGCAACAGAAAAGAAATTATGATAGCCTGTCATGTACACACTGGCATATAGCTTGAATGAAATTTCTTTCATTGGTGTGTTTAAAGCATAACAACATACAATCTATACCAGTTTCTAAATGAATACACAACTTAAATAGAGAGGAAGGTTTATTACCATGAGTCACACGACTTGCACCTACTTTACGAATGCAAATGTTGCATGGGTAGCCACCTTTTGTCCATTTGACTATATAGTTACTGTGTTTTGCTACGCATCAAGTAGAAGAGCACATCTTATTTTATTATAATTAATTGGGTTGTGGGCCCATAGGGTTAGAACACCCACTGGAGTTACGGTTCTACTCAAGTAAACTATAGGTTGTTACTTCGATTATCTTTGTTGATTTGAGATTGTCCAGCTTTAGGCTTGGGGGGAAAGTTCCTTCCCCGATTTGGCACTGCGCTTAAAACGTGCATTGCCTGTTATAATTGTGTTTTTTTCCAATTTAATTAAATCAATTTCAGATTTTCAGACCAATTCATAGGAGTTTAGGGTTCCAGAAAATAAAAATCTCACTAAATTGAAAAGAAAACAATTTTAACAAGCGAAGCCGGGCCCAAGAGCAAGCTAAATCAGGAAGAAACTTCCCGCACAAGCCTAAATCCGACGTTCAATATTTAACAAAAGATTAACCTAGGTAACAAGCAAAGACTATACCAAAGAGCAAGCGCCAATTTGAGAAGAAACTTCTTGGGAAAATTTCAATTCAACAATAGATAAAGTGATCCAATGTAATCAAATTTCCAACATTGAAAACACTAAATGACCATAAACGTAATAATAACCTTAACAGGTGTTCTAACCCTCAGGACCCAAAGCCCGATTAATCTTTGCTATATATAAATGCAAAGTTTCCTGAACCTATTTATGTGTAAACTTCTGGTGCTTCTTAACTATATATCGACTTCTGGTGCTTCGAAATCCTGTGTCACTTTCTGGTGATTCGGAATAGTTTATATAGATCTAGACTTCTAGCTATGCCTATAAGGCCTTTTAGAATAATAAAACACTGGATCAATTCAAATTATAAATATATTTTAGAAGTTAGTAACTTTCTTATTTGTAATATATTTATAGACGATATATCAAATTAATCATCTCTTGATGAGCTTCGATTTGGCATCCATATTGTTATTGTGTGTGTGTGTATACCTTTAAGGTAAAAATTAAATTATCAATAAATATTAATTGGAAAATTAAAATTATTATCAAGTAAATAAAATTTTCTGTCAAGTCCATTTTATAATAAGTTAGAAAGATTGTTGCAATATAGGAGGGGTAAGTTATACAAGTAACGAGTATTATTTTAAATATAAATAATAATGTAACTTTGTAAGAATTATTTGAAACTTAAAATGATACTTCTATTTTTTTTCAATTAAGTTATAAACTTAAACACTCATGTATTACACAACTGTTGCACTCATCTACTTTAAAATGCTTATACTGATTTCCACTCAAGGAGAAGATATGTTTATAGTTAAACAATTAATGCTGCCTAGAAGCCTATACAAACAAAGAGGTGATATCAATGCATTCATATTACCTGGCCATGCACATCACCACAAACAGTGAAATGCTTCCCAGCAGGAACGGTAATATCAACAAGAGATGGCAATTCTCGCAACAAATCTCTCATCTGCAACACAATCTGGTATGCATATCTGCAACCAGAAAGAGAGATAATAAATACTAGAATGAATGTGAAGGAATAACACTCAAGATTCAATGACTTCATTAAATCATTAATGGTAACGGTACAAGAAGGATGGACATCCAAATGAAACTTCCTCAAGTATGCTAATACAAGTAAGAAATAGTACGGATCAAGGAAAAAACCTAAGACATTACCGAGGTAGCATAACATACCTCTTATGTAAACACTTCTGTTTCTTGAAGTCGTCCATCATTTGCTTCACAAATTCCAAAGTTACACTATCTCCCTCTATTCTTGCACCAGAATACTGTGGCTCCACATCTAGAATTAATAGAAAAAATCTAGTTAGCCGCCAGCCTTTATTGTTTATGAGTACAGGAGATGAAGTAAGCAATGGAACTTCCAACATGTTATCATGTCTTTTCTATTAAGTACAGATAACACTGAAATGAACTCCGTGTGAAAAATTTATCTATCACACATCTCATAGTTGCATAGTACTTGGATGGAAAAAAAAAAAAGACAACAGATGATAAGAGAGTCCAGTATACTGTTTCATATCAATGGATGCAGACATAGCAGCCATCATATTCAAGTAAATGAATTCCAGTGCACCGAGAGCAACAAAAATAAAAAGAAGGAAGAAGAAAAAACATTTCTATGAAATGACAGATGAAAAGCTTCAGCATGAAATTTTGCAACATACAGCATCATAAACTAAATCAAATTATGCACAAGATGGCCTTTGAGCTCCTTTGGCAAAATGCCACAGAATTTCTTTTCACCAACTCCCATTTTTCAGCTACCAGATCCAGTGTTTGAACTTCTAAAGAACACTTCCATACCATCTAAACTTCCATCTCCAACCAATTTCGTCTTAAAATCTAAATTTTTGAACCCTAAGTATGCAAATGAACAATCATGATGATTAAGGCTGCAAGTACTGTATGGCAACAAAACCATTCCTTTTCAATTTATACAGTTTTACCATGATTGTCACGTGCACCACACGAGCTTCATAGTACCCATGACAAACTACAATGTTCATCACTAATTGTCAGTGTTAACTTGAAGAAACAAAAAGACTATATTCTGCCATCTTTTTTTCTTTTCTTACTATAATCTTGTTCTCCTCTTCACAGCTGATGAAGCAATAACGAAAAAAAGCTAGAGAAAGAAAACCAGACATAACCCATGTCTATATAGTACAAGAAAACTACAGATATAACCATTTCTAGAAATTTTTATTACTCATTTCTACAGCTACTCCAACTTGTAACACTTAAAACACAACAAATGACAAAAGCAAAAAATAGCAAGCTTGACTTTGGCAAAAATCATTCTTTTAAAAGGATGTTGGTAGCATCACGAAGGAAACATTCAAGGGTTATCAATGATTTACAGTAGAGCAAAATTATAAAGGAGAACCAGTGGTTCGATTACAAAGAACCAACAATTAAAGCATAAAATAGTCTTATCAACAATTCACTTCTGTATACAGGTTTATCTAAGATATATATTATTCTTACGACTAAAAACTCATTTTTAGATAAGATTGTTAGCTCTGTTAATTATCCTCAATCTCTATTTGATCCAAAAGTTCTAACCTAAGTTATGTCTTGGGCCCTTGGAAAAAACACAGTCTTTGTAGCAAACCTTCCAACAAGTTCCCCAGACCACCATTACAATCACTATAGCTGTTGTTGCCACTGCTATGGCCGCTTGGGTCCCCATAAAAACTGCCAGTACAGCTACTGCCACTGCTACAGCAGCAACTTTCAGGGAAATATAAGATGAGCCTGGGCTAGTCCCTATAATGATAAAATAGTGTGTACTAGTAAGTATAAGTGTAACCCGAGTTCATTTGTTACATACTTTTTATATAAAAAGTACCAAGTTATATGTTTCTCTTACGGTTCTCGCACAAGGCAATCCTAGACTCAAGCATTCTCCACTTTGTAAAACTATATTTAATTACAGACCGATGTTCATAACCTGGTCATTGGTAAACCCTAGAATTACAGCTACAGCTTTGTCACTGTATGTCCATGATGCACGATAACACAGTCAAAGATTCTTGGACAAGAAGAATCTCGTGAATTCTATTACAACTAATGCCAGATACTATTAAATTTATGCACTCTCCACTAACTGCCGTTTCCATGATTTAAGAATCTTGAAACTGATCGTATAACTATTATTAAAAAAATATTAATACTCCAAGCTAAACAGATCCGGAAGAAAAGTTGTCTAATTATTTTTTTCCATTTACTGTTGTTTGGTAGATAACAAGGACGAAGGAGACAGAAAAACTAATTATGATGTTTAAATACTTCATACACAGGATAAGTTTCACATAAGCATTCGAGAAGTCAGTTAATGGAGAATTAAAGGAAGCTATCCGTATCATCTAACAGTCACACAAGAAGATTTTAGGCAGCTTGTCGAGGCCACAGGGAATATATAATCCGTTACAAAGTTATCAAAGTTAACGGAACAACAATGGCAGTAACATTCAGTCCACAGTGAGTATGATTTGCAACAACTAAACCTAACAGTTCATCAAGAAAATATAAGGACATGAATTATACAAAGTATTCATACCTATAGTGTGGTAATCTATAGAGTCGGCCACAGAATGTTTTTCAGATTCAGGAACAGATATGGCCTCTTCAAATTTTAGTTTCATCACCGCTTTCTCACATTCCTTCAATTTCTTGGCGGCATCAGGATCATTTGGACATATTCTTTTTACCTAAATTTCAAAAACTCATATAGTCAAACAATGATTAGTAAAGTTATTCTTTACAACTTGGAAGGATGTAAACAGATTCCAAAA